AGTTATGGAAAGTGCGATAGACGACAGCATCAGGGAATATCTGGGCACATAGCAAGCACCCAGTGGCGCTCAGCGTGGCCTCCGTAAGGGTGGGTCCTGTGCCCCCAATCCCCCGAAGGCCTATAATAATTATTAATATTTATTCCCGAATACACAGGCACACACCATTTTTACAGGTGTCAGCAAGTTTATGTATAAGTTACATGTATCTCCATGGAAGGCAATCTCAATCCCTACCCGTTGTCACTGGAAGATATAAGTGCTGCATGCTCATGTAATGGAACATCCGGCAAAATAAGTGTGCAGAAAATTTACAAGTTGGGCAAGTGGAAGTATTGTCTCCTCAATAACAAAAAACCAGGTTTGTATCCGGACATCACAGGCATTACCTGCAGGAAACTAAAGCTTGAAGCTAATACCTCCACTGTAACAGTTTGCACTTTTTGTCTGAGATAATGGTGAAAAGTTTATGAAGGAATGTATGCACGGAGTGTTTAAATATTGTACTTCGTTGATGGTCCCAGGACTGTATAATTCATGCATGCTAACACCATTCTACATCGGAGATTCATAATCTTGATGAATGTTATGACTGAAAGCCAAATGTCTTCACTTTTCCAACTCCAGCATCCAGAAGCAATAGACTTGTTTGAATGCACCGAGTGGGCTTCCAGAAAATCTTGTCCTTCGTCTTCACGGATTGTGACAGCCCTGCAGTTGGTAAGTGTTGGACTTTGCTGGTCACTTTTATAATGAGTTAATCCTAGATTTTGATAATTACGAAGTTGTAGTCCAGTGAACTTTTTATCTCTGTTTCTTGTAGTTAGGTATCCTGAACTTGGTAAAGCTGGTTACCCTCCATGAAGGGTAGTTTCAGCCATGGTCTGTTCCTTAAGTAATTAATTCTCGATGGCAACAAAGCCGACGTTTAGAACTGAATTATTTTTCTACAACGAGAAAAAAGCAGACAAGGCAGCAGGCGGAGAAAGCAAGGATTTCAACAAGGAGAGTGTTTTCTATGTTCATGTTTCTCCCTACTTAACTTCCCTTGCTATGGCTTTCATTGTATATCCTCTTCCTATGGAGTATTTAAAATATAAATTTCATGCTGTCATGTGGTGTAGGATTTCTGTTTTTGATTACCGTGTTGGGTGGGGCAGAATGTGTCATTACTTTGAGGTGGTAACTTATGGAAGTCTCCTCAACGCTTCGTACAAAAGGCCACTGGTGATGCCACTTGGAGGATTCAATAGACGTTTCGTGTTTTCGCATCTGTTGACTCCACTTGGGTAGTTGGTGTCCAGGATTTGTGTGTATGTTTGACTGTATCTTTTCTGTTGTTCCGAGGGCGCTAAGATTAGTGGTTCAGAGCAAGGGGTTTCAACATCCTCATCGGTTGTTTGGACAAAGCTGCAGCTGATGGGGATACATTCGATAGAAAATCGTGTTTTTGTGGTCCATGTAAACTTCTGTTCTGCGTTGTATTCCTTACCAGTGACTGCCTTCTGTTACAGTTCACAAGGGACGTAACTGGCGTTACGTTGGATCGGGGGCTGTTTCCCAGTAAACTAGTGCCTTGCAGCCGATCAAAGTTTTTCTCCACAGAGTACTCCGCTGACATTCTATTATGGGTGGTTTGATGTTGGCTTTTCTCATTAGTAAACGATAGGGTTGGGTTGTTGTGACGTCTATTTTTGTTCTCGTTACTAATGAGACCTGGCTTAGTGTATAGAAACTTCTTGGTAGAGCCACTGTTCGTACTTCTATCAATTCCAGAAGGGATTATGGGTTCATTTTGGATCACCGTATGATTTCTGCATCCACCTGTTCGTGTTGGGTTCCATGGGGGCATTGGTTTATCTATTGCATATCGAGTTGCCGATATCCTAGGACCTACGCTGCCGTGCTTAGTAGACTTCTGGCCTCCAGCAGACCTCAGCGAGAGTTCTGTCACGTTTAGTGCTGCGTCAGGTTTCACTCTGGGGCTTTGTGTGGATAGGTCTGGATCTACAGTTTTAGGTGGCTGATTCAAATCATGCATTTCGCCGTCTACCGTCTCCACGTCGGTCGACGTATTTTTCGGTATATATGACTTGATAGAGTTTGTGGTAGGAGAAGTCGTAGGCTTGGGTATATTGGGGGAGAAACCTACTGCTTTAGTATGCTGCAGCTTTGAAGTCTTTTGACCTTCAGGTCTATGAGCACGGTTGTATACCTGCCTCTCCATCCCTGTCTTATCAAGAGCTATCTCTATGCGTGCAAAGACCGTTTTTTGCCAAGATAAATTCTGCTTTGATGAATGCCTCCGCTTCTATCTGTGATTTAAACTGGAAGCGTATCAGTCAGCAGTGGTCCTGGTGGCTGTTTTTAGTCGGAAGCATTTTGCATGGACATCATGCAATTTCGCTGTTCCAAGCAAAATTTTTCGTATCGCCTTCAGCTTTGTCTTGTTAGGGACTTTATAAGCAATCGCGTTCAATTTAAGTGCAAGTCTCTTACTTACTTCAGCGGTGATAAAGTTTACCAGGTGATCTACCTTGAATAGTGTTTCGATGTCAACTTCACTAATGGATTCGCCACGCGTCAAGATGCTCAGCGGTGAAAAGTTGCTAATCTGAGCCCTAGTTTCACCCAACTGGGGTGACACCTTGAACGCCCTTGACATATTTTCTTGTGGTGCATTATTCTGTTTGTCATCCTTCAGTCTGCGTATTTCTGCCTTTAGTTCCTCTACAGAGGACTTCAGGCTTTCGATTTCTGGAAGAAGTGACAGTGACACACTTGGTGGTTGAAGTCTAGTTAGTCTCACAAAAGACGTGGAACTTCCATTAAGCTTCACATCTGCTGCAGCATTTAGTGCTGCGGTCTTGTTACATGTAGGGCATGCAGAGTTGTTTCTGTTATTATTAGCGTTGGTCGAACGCAGTTCGATCTTCTTTTGTGTATAACTGGAGTATGAGCTGACTCACTTATGCTGTGGCAAGAGAAATCTGCTTTTGTTGTCACCAACATTCGGGTATTGTTGATGCATTGTTCCACAGACAGTTGTGTCCGTGTCTTTTTACATGCATTAACCTTATCTAGTTGCATGTCCGATGTGTGGTTAGTCAATTGAGAGTTAAATAGCTATATGATGACGTTAATAACAAAGTTATGATGCGATTATGAAATCACGTTAAAATGTAACACAATTTCAAAGGTACCACACTCAATGATCACTAGACAGCACGCCGGGATCTCAGGCCCCCGATCCACACAATTTTCCGGACTTTGCAATAGCCTTCGACACTGTCTCGCACACCATCCTAGTGTACAAAATACCTGGGTTAGGTATCCGCGGCCGGATGCTGTTGTGGCTGCAGAACTACTAAGAGTTCTGCACAAAAGTCAACAGGGTCCACTCAACTTGGGGAGCATCATCGTCCTGTGTCTCACAAGAAGCAATCCTGGGTGCACTCTTGTTCCTATTGTTCGTGAATAACCTCCCGCCGCACTTAAGCTCTCCGATTCTCCTCCACGCTGGTGACGTCAGGTTATGGAGGGCGGTAACTTGCGAAGTGGAACGACCTCAAAACACCAGAAGAAAAGGCAACAAATAACGAACTGGCGTTTAACCTAGACAATTGTTGGTACATGTTTTTCTGCGCTCCCGATTCCCAGAAAGTATCCTACTCTCTCTGTGGTTGACGTTTATCCCATACCACAGCAGAGAAAGATATGGGTTTAACTGTGACGGAGAAACTGGATACCAGTTCCAATTATCCAGGTGGCACCTCAAAAGCATACGGTGTACTACACTTTGTGCACGGACAGCTAGGTGCCCCCATCCCAGAGCTCTTTCTGAAGCTCTACAAGACCTACATACCACCTCATTTGGAGGTCCACAACGTTTTTACTCCGCCACAACCCAAAAGAGGCACGAACTTACTGGACAAAGTTCGGGGGCGGGCCAGGAAAGGGGTTGTGGGGATGCAGGGAAAACCACATGAGGATAGACTGAGAGACCTTGGACTATACTGTCTGGGCTACCGAAGGTTACGCAATGACTTGATAATGGCTTACAAACTACTGAAAAACCCAAGTCACCTGAACAAAGAATTACTGCCGAGTGGCCACCATGGCGATCGTCGTGGGGACTCTGATGGAACTGCCCACCTGAGGTCAAAGACTCATGTGCATTCGCGGTTCTTCCCCCTGAGTCTGTGGGCTCTGGAACGCATTACCAGCAGGAGTAGTCCCCGCCCCATCTACTGAAAGCCTCAAGAAAAGGCTGGACAATCACGCAGAAACCCATGGTCTACCCACATGTGGCAGGAATACGAACTAAGCAGAAGAAATCTACTGCTGCTACACCATTCCAACTATTTTACCTCTACAACGGGTTTTCTTTCTGCCGCAGCCATCTAAGCCCTTTCCATCGCTTCAAACTAGCATGAGTTAGCCCTACCTACCTAAGTTCTCCATATCTTTGCACCCCTTTTCTCCTAACTCATGTGTAAGTAGGTTGCTCCATTAGTCCACTTTTCTTTTCCCTTTACGCTAGCGAATTTTTCTTTCGAGGCCTCCTCTTTACTATCCCTGACTGTCTCTAGCGACCGGTCCGAACAACTGTCTGGCAACTCAACATCTGAAGAAGCCAACTGTACCACAGTTCAAGGCGAACCAACTAACACTTAACCTGTTGTTCTGTGTACCAGAGCTGCAACAGGCCAGTGGCTTGATCTACTGCATTGGGACTCGCCAAAGACCTGGAACCGTTCGGCAAGACCAAGAAGCAAGCAAGAAGAAATCAAATGATTTACACAAGCTCGTTAAACAGATATTGGATATTGGACTAATAAACAAGAATTAGATATTTTCTACTTATGATAATGAAATAAACGCAGGACATTCAGTTCGTAATCTTTTCGATATGAATTATATGAGAATGAAACATGCTAACACACGTACATTGAACATTGTTTAGATGCACGACTGAAATTTGCGCCCCTATTGGGATTATGTTCTCTGCTCAGCACAGAGATATCTGCGCAGATCGGGGTTGTGAAAGTTGTCGGGATTTATCTGAAAACGTAAGCAAGCAATTCGGGGGATGATATCACATGTCTCATGAATGGTATAGAATTCACTGAGTCGTGGATTTGTATTGAAATCTACGCAGGAATTTCACCTCATTGTTTACTGAATTAAAAAAACGGCAGAAATCATTACACAATACTGGTTCCTCTGAAAATGACAGCTTCTCATGTTGGCTTCTAAACATCTCACCTTCGTGTAAGAATGTGTGTCTGAGCTTTCCTACAGAGGTTGAAACCATGGAAGCATTGTTCGTTATTCTTACAACAAGGAATTTGAAGTTTTGAAAGTCATGAAGGCTTCAAATATTTGACAGATGCTATCCGTTCTGGTATCGCTTGTGTGTTTCACAACTGCCCCATAGGGGAGTGAACCAGTCATTTGGTTAGTCTGTAGGTCGTCATCAGTCTAGGTAACTGAAGTGTGCTGCGTTTGTCGAGTTGTCTTCTATCTTGTAGTGCACTTCTTGCCGAACCAAAATCAGGTGGGGTAAAGGCCGAGAGTCGCCAGACCAGGATGTGGTAGCAGTGAACTTTTATTGGCTTGCTCTCTGGGCTGGATTGTTTAGTCGTGGGACTTTCGTTGTCAATCTAGACATCAGCGTAAACTTCAAAAAGAAGTGAGCGATAGGGCTTTCGCAATTTATTTAGTAATAGTAGTAGCTACTAGATGAGAAGTGAACATGGACAGTAAATTATGCTTGAGACTTCAAATATATCACTAATATTTTTATTGTTTACAAGTAACTCGAAATGCACAATTAGAGGTTATTTTTTATTGACTCGGAATATGTCCAGGTCCAGCCGATTTACTCATGCTTTCTTAAAAGTCATCATACTGCGTCTGCATCCTTTTTGTTTCAGCTATGTTTTACTGTATTGCCCTCTCTGCCTTTCTTTTTGTTGACTTTTACTGAGATGTGGTGTAAAGTGTTGTGAATTACGCGTACATTAAGTAGGTTGTCACAATGTTTGCAATATTTCACACTCATTGATTGACTTACATACCTAGTACTTAACGTAACCCCCGTGGCTACCTATTAAGTATTACGAATTCACACAAGGTTTGTGGTTTTCGCGAGAGTCATCTTAAGTCACCCAGTGAAACGACTTTGTGAGATAATACAGGCGAGTCAGAAAGTAAATTTTGACCATTGAACTACCGATTTTCCATGAGATTGGCCAAGTCTTTTGTTGTGTCATCAACAAGGATTTGAGTATCCATGACTAGTCGGATTTTGTGGTAAAACCTCACACAGGCGCGTTGACACAACAGCATACATGAGCAGTTGGATGGTGAATGATACTGCGTTCGACAAGTGTATGAGAGAAGTCAATTAAGGTTAGTAAAAATGTTCAGACTTTCGAAGATGTCACACAGTGAATTCAACAGCGCCATTAGCATCAATTTTCAGTCACGTTACCGAACTTCTCCAACCGTTGGTTTATTTTATGTCGAGAATCCCAGACAGGTAGTCCACTCTTCCCTACTCAGTTCTGACCAACAATCAAAAATTCCATGAACTAATACCACGTCTTAGCCTGGTCATCCTTACCCTTATTCCAACCCGTTCCTATTTCACTTTACTTTGCACGTTTGGGTAGGCAGTCGCTCTGCATACAGAACTCGTGTCTAAGCCACCATGCTAGGTGAAGGTTGACAACTTCATTGGCTGACTTGCCTTCCTTACCCTGTATCGTCTGTTTGACATTGGCATTAATCACACAACAGTCCCACCACACGTGAGAAAAGATAAATGTGGTCAAAAGCCTGTAACATCATCGTATCTACTTTCGACAGCCATTTCTCACTGCTGTATGATAGGTAGGACAGGTTAAACTGCAGAGATGTATATCCGTTCTTTATTAGGTAGTCGTATGTTTCGTCGGCACCAGAGATGACACTTCTATAAATGTCAAGCGAACCTATTGTATCCAAGCTGAGGGATCATCAACAACCAAACTATTGGGGCTGTTGTAGCTTCCTAGGTCACTGAAGTGGTCAAAGCATTCAACCCGTTGACCGCCTGTCATTAAGCTAGGATTCAGTACAGTCCTGAAGAACCACCTTACATTCAGCAGGTGTCAAACGCATGTTAAACATACTATTTCCGTACAGGATGTTCAGCAAACTATGCATTTTGTCAGCGTCTTCACCTGACGAGAGGATGTCGTCTGTGTACTTGAAGTCAACCAGATGTCCTCCTGGGAGTTAAAACTTTTAGAGCTGGAGGTACCTAAGGTTATGTCGGTTAACACGTCTGTAAGAAAGTTAAGCAAGGAGGGGGAGAGTGGGATTTCCTAGTCAGCTCCTGGCTTAGCCTAGCCACCGTTTATCTCGTTGCACAATGTTGGCCGAAGTACGTTCAGGCCGGAAAAAGGCTTTGGGCGACCAGACTGAAACATAAAGTCAATACATGAAGTCCTTGACTATTCATTTGAGCCATGTAAGGCGAAGCAAACTATTCGGTTGGGGTCCACGGGACAAGAGAAACCAGTAGTTGGATACTAGGTGAAATGGCTCAGAACCGGTGTCAGTAGGGCGGATGTATACACAAATTCTCCTCACTTTCTCATTTCTCCTTCCTCTCTTTTATTACTTTCTACCTTTGGCCGATTCTCCTTCCCTTCATCTTCCATTTTATTGCCCTGTTTCCTGATGTGATGATATGAAGTGTGGGAGCTTGAACCGTAAGGCAGTTATGCATGATCTTATGTTGGTTTTGATAGTGGGCGCCACTGGTTTTGTCGCCGCAGATGACCCATGCCCCCCTACTGGGCTGCACGTGTTTCAGTAGGTAGCCCTAATTAGCATCGCATACTTGTTCGATACTCCATTCACGGTCAGAGACTGTCACACTTGGTCAGCGGAGTCGAATGCTGCTTTCGCGTCAAGGGCTATTAAGTATTCGTCTTTCAGAACCTGTCAGAGAGTAGGGCTCTGATAGATCGATTGTCGACCAGGTTTGAAACCTATTTGTTCCTCTCAAGTTTGTTGTTCTCAAGCTCCACTTAGGCGTTGGATGACTGTAAACCCTAGGATATTAGATGATCTTAGTTAAACTGATTCCCCTGTGGTTCTTGCAAAAAAACTTCAATCCGTACCATAGACTGGAAGTGAAGCGTGACAATAGGTTTGTCGAACTGTGCGGATACAAAACGCTCGCTTGGTCTTCACCAACTTACACCGTGTATGGCGCCATTGTTATATCCAGTTACCAATTAAGAGCTTACTGTGATCACTGCGATTAAGTGCACTGCACTGCAGTTCGCTCTGTTCTAGTGTATGACTGAAACAGCCACAAAAAGGAATGCATGGAAAGGCTTCAGATGTTCGGTTACCATCGCCCTCGTGGGATGAGCTGTGTCGTGGTGCCACCACATTAGTGATGCGGAAGTCAGGCTTTAAGTTTTAGACAAAAGGTAAAACAGTTGACTTTGTTATGAACCTTCATCGACTTAGACGGCTGAGACATGTGTTACACTCGTTTATTCACCATCACGTAACTTAAGGTGATGTAGGTTTCGACCAGAAAAATACAAAAATGACTAGACCAAAACATGACATCACACCACAAAGTCTTTGCCCGACCGATAGCTGCTACCTTGACGTGGTGGTCGGGCTTGCATATCACAATGACCCAACGAGCTATGCTGGTGGAACGCTTGTTCCCTCGAGGTCCTACCATACCAGAAAGGTCTGTTGGCTAGTGGTTAGACGAAAAGCAGTTACCGTTGTGGTGTAAATTGCTACACTATGATGGGGGTCTGAGGGCGAAGTCGTACTGCTGCTAGCTGGATGGGGTGTGACAGCAGTAAGGTGTTTCCCTTGGATGACCAGCAGTGCCATGCTGATGCTGCCTTCTCAGTGGAAGGGGGGGTTAGAAGAAAGGTCGGCCCCAAAAATAACACACTCCACCACGCCCCACGGTCTGGGGGCCGGCGGTGTTGGTTCATTTGTCGTTTCCTTTCGACCATCCGGCCCCAAAAATACAAAAGTTCAAAATAATCATACTCAAAAGGCTGGGTGTGACAGGCCTCAAGCAGATGTCCGATGGGCTCTGCGGTCACACAAATCTCTTTCAGGTACCTTAAGAAGAAATAGCCTTCCACGGTGTGGGCAGCCGGGAAGTGTCAACCGCCCTCACAACTCTGTCAGCACCCAAGTTTCTTCTGACTGCTATCCTCCTCCTCCATCATTACCTTCTAATCTTCCTTCACGTCTCTTAATTAATGATGCTGCATCATCTTCAATTTCTCCTACCTCTGCAGCCTTCGACAACGATCTGAGTCCACAGAACAGCATCCTTGGTCTCCTTAAACCACGCTCCAAATTACATATTGGAGCCTTCAATGTCCGCACCCTCCGTCAAATTGGCCAACAGGCTTCGTTGGCAAAGACTCTAGCAACTCGAGCCATGGATGTGTGCTGTGTTTGTGAGACACGCATACAGGACCCAAGTGTGGTTATTCACCTGACCTCTCCTGACCAATCTGGTGAATCTGCAAAATTCACCCTTCGAGTTTCTGGAGATTCGATAGCTAGCTCTCGTGGTCTTGCAGGTGTAGGTATAGCATTAAGCACCAGGGCAGAAAACTCACTACTAGACTGGATCCCAGTTGATAGTCGCCTCTGCGCTATGAGGCTGAACGGCACAGTGAGAACTAAAAGGAATAGTGAGACTCGCCGTTGTCTCTTTGTAATCTCTGCTTACGCACCCACTGACTGTAGTTCGAATGTAGTGAAGGACGAGTTCTACCATAAACTGTCTAACCTCCTCTCGAAAGCCAGACGTTCGGGCATGGTGGTTGTTGCAGGTGATTTCCCTGCACAAGTGTGTAGACTGAGTGAGGCACTTAGTTGGCACTTTCGGAATCCCAGCTGAACGTACAGATAACGGTGATCGCCTACTACAACTATGCTCAGATAACCGCCTATTTTTAGCCAGCACAAATTTCAGACATAAAGAAAGACACTGTCTGACGTGGCATCCACC